CCGTTCACCCTGGCCTTCACCAATTTGGAGCCAACGATTATCCTGGACCGCCTTTTGGGGAACAAAAAAGTTCCGCATGTAAAAGAAAAAGAAAACTTCAGGCCGTACTTTTGCAATCACCAGTTTCAAAATACCAATAACCTGTTACGTGCCCCAATTACTTTTCATCCCGCCCTTGTTCACAGGGTTGGGTCATGCAATCCATGCATGCCAGCTCTGTCTGTGCTGCACTGCGGTCTCATCACATACCACAGTCTCATCACCTACAATGCTTGCATCCCGGCTGCCAGTGTTTGAAGTCTACACGTGCATGTGCCCGTGGACATAGTAGTTGGTGACATGCACTAGCCAACGGCGCATGCTGAACGAGTAGTTCCCACGTGGGTGCATCCAGAGCACATGCTTACTTATGTGTGAATCGGTGAATGCACGTATGTACAGGACTGTCTTTTTAATGGGGCGACGGGCGAATGCACACCCGACAATTCGACTACCCTGACCACCATCACCCTCGCCCCAGCAGCCCTGCTAAGCGCTGATGAACCCATCTACCAGCGCCTCCTGGTCATGGTTCTCGACTACCCGGCTTGCGGCTTCCCTGCTACCACCACAGTGGAAGAAATCCGGACCCTCTACCTGGGCCCAAATGGGGATGGCAAGGGGGGCCTTGCTGAAAAGTACACACAGTGCTCCTATGGGAGGTTCAACCTCAACATAACTGCCTTCCGGGCTGTGCGTGTGACACACCTGTGTTCGACACCTATCACGACTACCTGTGCCAGCTGGGCAATCTCGGCTCTGGCGGATGCAGCCACCAAGCCCCTCATCGGCCCTGCAGCCTTCTCATCCTTCAGCCACTACACCTACATACTGCCACCGGGGCTTCAACCAGTGTGCCCCTGGTCAGGGCTGGCAATATTGCCGGGCCGACAGACCTTCCTGCAGACATCAGCCAATGGAGTGTACAGATGGGCAACAATAATGCAGGAGGCCCTACACAACTATGGTATGTGTGATGGGTGACTGCCTGAGTGTATTGATATCTATCGATGATTGATGCTGGACCAAACAGTAATGCCCAAACATGCAACTTACAGCAACTTGGGTGTTAAGTTAACGCCTGAAGAGCGGGGGCTGCTGGAGTCCCGTTCAAATGTTTCCGCCTCATTCAGCAATTTTGGCTGTCTTTTGTGATAATTTAATCATAGGTTCATGTCGTGAGCCTTTCAAGCTTTTTAAGACTATCTCGTAGCTCCGCCAAGGGACGAAATGGCATGTTTCGAGGTGTGGTCGTCGGTAATGCGCAAATACCGTAACCGTAATTCCGTAACCGTAACCGTAACCGTAACCGTAATTCCCAGCCCTAGCGATAACGCTTGTTTTCTTCTAAAACCTACTTGCAAGCCATTTGAACTTTGAAGGTGCTAAAATCAAACTTGTAGGGCTTTGGTAGCAGCGGTTCGCTAAGTAGTACCTTGATCTTTAGCATGGCAGGCAACCCATAAGCGATATACATGCATGCCGTTGCTGCGGCACGAAGGTCTGTAAAATTTAAATCCTATGTAATTCGCACTTTGGTATATTAGAAAGGGGACGGTCCCTCTCTCTTCGAATGATAGAATCGGTAAACAAGTCTAATAGCTATTTACGATTCGGCTTCCAACCTGTATCATCCTAGTTCTCTACTGTGGCGCCAGCTAGTACTCTATGTGCTGCTCGTTACATGTGCACAGGTCTCTGGCACTCTTGGCAGAACGGTATTGAGTACGGCGACTACTCGACAGCCATGGGCCGCGGTGATGCCTGCCCCAACGCTGCGGAGATCTCCCGCATGGGCTGGGCCACACCTGCGGTCGGAGGTGACCAGCTGAACAGCAGTGTCTTGCCTCCAGGCACAGCTCGGACCTTTACACTGCCTGCCACCTACCTGACTGGCAACAACAACTACCTGCGGGTGACTCCGGATTGGCTGAGTATGTACAACGACTCAAAGTCAGCTCTGAACCTGTACATGGCTGTCCGAGTAGCCAGGGAAGGCGATGCTGGCCTAGGACAATCATACGCTTCCAAGGTTAACATTCATGAAGTAAATGCCACGATGGTGAGCGGTGCCTCCAAATACCTATCACGAAATGTTGGATGCGATATCTTGGTTTTGCCAATTGGGCATCGAAAGCAAGCAGAGATATTTTGCTACTGCAATGCAAACTATTTAAGCGTTTTTTACTGTTGCTGCATGCAGGATAATGACTACCCCGCTCCTCGCTTTGTAAACAGCGACCGCAAAATCCAGTTCATCAACGCCGTCAGCCCCATGTCCCAGCTGAACCTGGATGTCTACAACCTAGTCGTGTATGGAGGATCATGGGTCGATACGGACACCTTGAGGGTGCACCTCTGCCGATTTAAGAACTCGCCTTTTGAGTGCCCTTCCCTCAGCGACCTGGAAGCCCAGCCACCTCCACCCCTTTCCCCGCGGCCCCCGAGCCCGCGACCTCCTAGACCTCCACTGCCAAGGCCACCGTCACCTCCTTCCCCCCAGCCACCTGTGCCACCACCACCTCCTTCCCCCCAGCCACCTGTGCCACCACCACCTCCTTCCCCCCAGCCACCTGTGCCACCACCACCTCCTTCTCCCCAGCCACCTGTGCCACCACCACCACCTTCCCCCCAGCCCCCCGCGCCACCACCACCTCTTAGACCTCCACCGCCAAGGCCGCCGCCACCTACGACCCCGCCACCAAGACAGCTGCCTCCCAGCCCGCAGCCGCCTTGCTCACCACCCCCACCACCCCCCAGGCCCCCACCCCCCAGGCCCCCACCCCCCAGCCCGCCACCACTGAGGCCACCGCCCCCATCTCCTGCACGAATAGGTAAGTTTGCCTTCCTTGCTTTGCTTGTTGGCTCATGCGAGCTCCGCACTCGTTTCTGGCCACCAGCAGACCATTATCTATCCAGGCTTGATACTCTGATTTCGTGTAAGTATAGGAAGGTTAGGTGTGCAGGGTAATGTGGGAATCCAGCTAGTGCGGTAGTAGACCTAGGTGTGCAGCTCACATACCTGCAGGAATGAACAGGAATACCACTGAACCCCACAACATCTGCAAGCCTTCTGCCCTCGCATATTTCGTTGATCGCTTCAGGTCTCATCCTTTCCTTCTTCCATGCATGACCCACACACACGCACAGCATGTGTGTGTGTGTGGTGTGTGGCTAGTGACAGCTAGCTGGCTTCCTTAATTTTATTGATTCACGTTGCATGCATGCATGCTCAGGTCCGACATACAAAATATACAGTACAGTTTTTATCGTGGCTCATTGTGGCTGTGAGGGTTTTGGGAATGGCCTTTCCGGCGATTCTGATGTATGCATACATCGATGCCATTGAGCAAAGGCTTGATTCATATGCCAGCTCCGAGTAGGTGTATGTTTCACATTGCCCACATGCACATGTACACATGATTATGCTTATGAGCAACTTAAACGAAACAGAAGCATTGTAATAAAGGGTATGGCTGGTTAAGCTATAGCTTAAATACATAGCATTGTTGGTAAATACATACGTACGCCTCTATCTCACTTGCCCATATGCATACTTCATCCCTTGCAGCCTGCAGCAGGTTCTCAGGCTATTCACTCATGGTCGACAGAGACCACGTAGGGGATGATATTTGGTGCAGCGTAATTAGCCAGCAGGGTGTCGCGACGGCCTGTTCCACCAACGGCGACTGCAAAGCGTTCAACTCATATGTAGTCAACAATGCTACCTGGGGCTGTATTAAGCGCATAGCTGGGCCTGTACGACCATGGGCAGGAATCTGCTATTACCGAGGTATGTAATGGATCTGCAGTACCGCCCAGAAAGCGGCCGGCCCATATGTTTTGGGGTATCCTGTTTTTTCCAAAAAGATACTGGTTAGTGCCGACCACTGTCCAGTCACCGCTCCTGCGACCAATCCTCACTCATTCCCACAGGCCTTCGTTCCCGCTGCGGGTGGTCACTCAGCCACAGCGCAATAACATGCTGCTGTCCTAAGGCGCAACCACATTGTGGTGGTATCGAAAGATACCGATTGAGACAGGCTTGATTAAGTAGTCGCAGCAAAATCCAGTTGGGCCTCGTGCCAATAAACTAGCTATTAACCCCCCCAGTGCGACTGGGCAGCGTGATCTTCTGATGACCGTAACCCAAACATGAATTACTTCCTAATCGGATGACCAGATGAACCAGGGACGCAGGTCCCAGCTTTACTCAGATAAAGTCCCCGCCCATATAGCAAAAATGGAATCCAGCATTTGGAAATAGGTACCAAACCCCAAAGAATAGCAGGTATGGATTTCCGGATCCATGGACGCACTGCTGTCTGGTGATGTGATAGTATGCACGAGACTGGCACTGATCATTGCGTCCACAGGACGCCCACGCAAATTCGAATTTGGTGAGCGGCCGTCGCAGAGGTAACGGGAATATGTTTTAGCTGGAGGGGCCATAGTTATTAGCTGTTATTATACCGTCACAGCCAGCCAGGCTTGCAAACAGATGCTGTGCGCGTTTGTACTTGTTTTGCCGAACGTAGCTCCAAAAACACTATGCATGATCATGCTAAGTCATGTTCTCACTAAAACCAATTCTGGCATGACGATATCAGAAGGCTTCTATAAAGGAATCCGTGAATTACGACCACTTCAGCCAAACTACTTCTGAAGGACCCTCAGCCCTTCATTGTGGGATGAGCTCGGAATTCATGATAACTCACGTTGGAACAATGCATACAGTCATAAGTAATTAAAACAATCCCTGGCATGGCGATATTACAAGGCTTTTGCATGCTAAGTGGCCATTTCAGCCGAACTCCGTCGATATGCTCTGAAGGCCCCTCAGCCCTTCGTTATCAAATGAGCACGAATGAGCACGAAACGACCACTAGATGAAGGGATTCCCGGGAAACGAAGGGAAGCTGGTTCCCAGAGTGGGAGCAGCAATGCGGCATTTATTATCGATGGCTAATTACTCTTTCCGTCGCGCTCTCTGCGACTTGCACTTCCCCCACACCGGTAAGGCCCCGCCGTACCACGGCCGAGTACACTCTCGGTATACATACACTGAAAGCCTTCAGTTAGCCACCCGCCAGTATTTTTTCCGCGTAGGTATCCATATACCCGCGGTCGCCCATATCCGTGTTGACAAGTAAGATCCCGAATTCGTCCACTGGCACGTGGTTGCGATGCTCCACACGCCAGCCAGCCCTCAGCAGGCACCTTCCCAGGTGCAATTACGCGCACGTCTCGTGTGTTGTAATTAATCGTGGCACAGAGCGGCAAACCAGCCAGGGGCGGAATCGGATTTCACTGAACTATACGAGCTGCCTTTCCTAAGCTGCATTTGGTGCCCCGACCCGGATCAGAATCTGCGACTTTGCACTTGCAGTACTACCCTCCCTTAAGGAATGGTTTTTCCGATAATTGACAAAAAAACGTTATTATCCAGGCGTTTTTCTCTGATAAATCCTGTCGGTCCAGCCATGAGCAGTGCTCCTGCATGCTCCTGATCCTGTTGTTGGCATTTTAAAAAGTAGTACAGTGACCCTCTCAACGCATGTACAATTATTATCCGCCGCTGCCGTGTGCGCAATGAATACCGCCCCACGTGCAGCGTGCCCTCCAATCGCGGGCTACACTGTTGCCATTGATATGGATCATCCGGGTGATGACCTTGCATGTGAGGGGCTTATTACCACCGAGACAGCAGCCAGTCGGTGCACCACCGATAGCAGGTGCAAGGCCTTTAACACGTACGTGGATTCCAGCTCAGGGAACCTGGCCGGCTGCTTGAAGTATGCTTCCGCACCGACGTCTCCGGCATCGGGTGCTTGCATTTACACCAAGGTCACGACGAGTAAGTAAGCACGTCTGTAGCTTGTTTTAGGGCCTGTTTATATTGCACTGGTATAATGGATAGGGACCCTTGCATGCTTTCCTGTCCGTCAGCAAGTTCGTTATGGTCTATACTGTATGTGCATGTGCGTGCAGCTGCTGGCTGCTGCTGATGTTAATTGTTGCTGGTGCATGCGTCTGCAGTGCCTGTGCTGACTGCGTGCTAAATCTTAACGCAGATTGCGCCATCATCCCCGGCTACACCCTTTCGCCTGGTGCTGACCACTATGGCGATGACATCAACTGTCAAATAACCACCGCTAATGGGGGAGCCAGCATTTGCTCGGGCAGATCAGACTGCAAAGCATTCAATTCCTACACCGTCCAGGATGGAACGCAGTGGAGCTGCGCCAAACGTGTAGCCAGTCCGCTGGCCAACGCAAATGGTATTTGTTTCTACACCAAGATCAATAATTGTAAGCCATTGAACACCCATAAACATCTGTATATGCGCTCCATATGTATGACCTGCCTATCTATCTATCTATCTATCTATCTATCTATCTATCTATCTATCTATCTATCTATCTATCTATCTATCTATCTATCTATCTATCTATCTATCTATCTATCTATCTATCTATCGATCTATCGATCTATCGATCTATCGATCTATCGATCTATCTACCTATCTATCTACCTATCGATCTATCTACCTATCGATCTATCTACCTATCTATCTACCTATCTATCTATCTACCTATCTATCTACCTATCTATCTATCTACCTATCTACCTATCTATCTATCTATCTACATATCTATCTATCTACATATCTATCTATCTACATATCTACCTATCTACCTAACTATCTATCTATCTACTATCTATCTATTTATCTACCTATCTATCTATTTATCTACCTATCTATCTATCTGTCCATCGATGTATGTATGTATGAGCTATTTATCTAACTAGCTAGCTATCCATCCATCCCATCCATCCATCCATCCATCCATCCATCCATCCATCCATCCATCCATCCATCCATCCATCCATCCATCCATCCATCCATCCATCCATCCATCCATCCATCCATCCATCCATCCATCCATCCATCCATCCATCCATCCATCCATCCATCCATCCATCCATCCATCCATCCATCCATCTATGCGAGATGGGGAATGACACTGCAACTTGATGTCGCACCTGCCAATGCATCTTAATAAACTCCAAGCGATACGTGTGTGTGTGGTTGTTACAGTGGGCTCCAGACTCCCGAAGAGTAGAGCCATCGGGCCAGCTGGCCGTGCACTGCAGTAGAGACTAATATACCAAAAGATTATCATCTCAGATAATTAACCTCTCATCGGTAACCGCTCTCGCGAACAAATCAATTTGCCAGATATAATCCTCAAAAAGGGGTGATGTGCGCCAACGGATTCCCAACCTTTTCGTGGAATTCCTAAAGCTGCGAAACCCTGAATGCGGCCCCAAAAATCAACAATAACTCGACAAATCGCTTCTTCCGTAAGGGAAGGACCAGGTAACAGTGCCGGGTTGGTTTTTATGTTTGCAGCCATATAACGTCTCCCATGCTCCATGGCTGACACCGCAGCAAGAGCCACAACATCCCAAACACATTGTTGCACTGATTGTGGGGCTTGGATAAGCCAAAGTTGCTCCCTTGAGACTGGCAATCCTATTGAAAGAGTAAGTTGATCTGCTATTGCCTGTGCCACCGGACAGGCCCAGAAATGATGATAGCGAGGGGATACACCTCCCACTGAACCTATTGGATAACCTCCACAACCACATAACGTTGGGCGCGACATCCTAAGATGGGAATTTCCTAACATAGGCACCCCATCAACCGCAAGACGCCACCAAATCTCTTTTTGTTCATTTTCCCACCGTAAATGAAACCATAAACGATGGAATGTCCGTTGCAAAAGAAGAATAGCTTCATCCAATATCTCAGAAGAACCCGTCGCCTCTTTGATGAAAAGGGTATGGGCCACACGGCGAGCCATCGAAAAAGGTGAAAGTTGCATATTAGTCGCTATTTTAACGGATAAATGTTGGAATCGGATTGGAGGCCCTACACCCCATCTCCAACCAAGCCTCGACACTAGGGTTGGAGTAACCGACTCAATAGGGGGCACCATCGCTTCCCTAGATTCTACACTCAGCGGCAACAAAAGACTAGCCGCCTGTCTCCAATTCGCTGGAATATCATCTAGAAGAGCGGCAATAGCATCCATACATTCCTGCCATTTACGATAGGTGCACAGGGATTTAGCTAGTGGGGTTTGCGGTTGGAGGTATTTATCCACTATTTGATGCCAAGCCTTGCGTATTGCTAGGCCTGCTTGGTCCGTTGCATTCATAACTCCATCCAAGGCCTCTCGCGCGCAAAGAACATCTCCCAACGTATGCAATGCTTTACAGCCCAGGAGGGCTTGATGACGAAATTCTAGTCCCGGGCGGATGTTATCTAACTGGACATTCAATTTTTTTTCTGGAAGAACAGGGTTTGCCCACAATGGCAAATTCCAACACCACGCATTAGGAACTAACGGGTGGTCATCAACATCTTCCACTGGGGGAAGGTATGCCAACGCTGTCACAATGCGCTGAACATCTGGCGGTAAAACGATTAATCCAAACCAAGGCACTCCCACCTGGGACGTAAAAATACACATAGGATTATATTTGGGGTAAAGGCTATGTAGGAAAGAGTGCATGACCATCACCCAAGGCGGACGCACTAAGACTGGTTGGAGTAATGCTCTCACAAAACGCACTCCC